CTCACTGCTAAGTTAAGTAGGCATTCTGTTCAGCACCTATTGAACATCTACTTTCTACATAGCCTTTTTGCATGCATATATTCAAAATGCATCAATAAACACCATGCTGCAAAATGAAATACTAACTCCATTGGTGGTAGCCCAGAATCTTATATTTCTTCATCTATTAAAAACTTACCAACACATCCTACGCACTGTGACTCAACCTATCTACAAACTGAACTAGAAACAAGAGGGTTAAAAAAATGTCAGGAGAATTAAAAAAAAAAAAAAGAGTCCAAGGGACTCTCAAGAGTCTTCTCAAACACCAGTTTGAAAGCATCTATTCCACAGCGCTCAGCCTTCTTTATGGTCCAACTTTTACGTCCATACATGACTATGGAAAAACTGTAGCCTATGCAGATCTTTGTTGGCAAAGTGGCACCTCTGCTTTTTAATACTCTGTTTAGGTTTGTCATAGCTTTCCTTCCAAGGAGCAAGCATCTTTTAATTTCATGGCTGCAGTCAGAATCCCTGCAGAATCCCCAGTGATTCTGAAGCCTTAGAAAATAAAATCTGTCACTGCTTCCACTTTCCCCCCTTCTATTTGTGATAATTTTAGCATTATTTTCAAACAAAACTCCTAAATGGAGGAAAATTGTTATTATTTTAATTTGAAAATTAGCATCATCTTCTCCACTACATTTTGAAGCGATTGATTTGAAAAATCATTTCTCCAATAGTCTTGTTGCCTGGGGTAGATGAGTCACACATTCCTCCCTAGACTCTTCTTTTAATATAGTGTCCATTCTCTGGTTTAAGGTGAGAATTGTATCTTCTAAATGGCTCATAATTAGTGCTTAGCCTCCGTTCTGCCCTCCTTTTCTGCAGAAGGCCTAGAGGTTAAACTTATTTGCTCTCTCCCATTTCCAGACTTCAGCAAAGCCTAGCTGTTCATGGTCCTCAGGAGGGACATTGCTAGGAAATGGGCTCTTCTTTTATGCCTAGGACAGGTACTGTGCTGTGCAAATAGCCACTACAGGATAGCATACCAACTGCCTGGCTAATAACTTTGAGCTCTAAGGATACTGTAAGCCTGGATAAGCAATACTCTTTTATGATACAAATGACTTTTTGCCTTAGCTGTGTAACACATTGTTTCCCACCTGAGACTTATCTTATCTGGGACCAGGAGGTGGCAAAAGAAAACTGAGGAAAAGAAGAAACTTTAGTGGGCTCCTGTGTGCTCTATATGTGTGAACTCTTAGCCCTGAGTAATGGAAGGTTAATACTTTCGTCCTAATGACTATGTTTTAGAATGTGGTACAAAATCACCTTTGGAAAGAAATTTCTAAAAGATCAGTTAAAAGGATGCAGACATGCAGATGGGGAACATGAAGAAGAGCTAATGGAGGGAGATCAGGAATGTATTGGATTAAAAAAAAAAGAAATTAAGGTCAGTTATCTTTAAGCTGCACTCCAGAGTTGAAGTATAAGTAGGAGGGAAGGTAGAATGTTTTCTATAGTTAGAAGTCATAAAAGCAGCAGTAATGGTCCAGAATTAGGCATATTTAGGTAAGGCAAGAAGTAAGCATTGAGCAGGAAGGTACCTGAGTCATCCTAATTAGAACTGTTTAATAATAGGACAACTAAAATACTGGTGGGATTAACCTTTATAATCATGCTGCTGAGAGGAGGAGGGGAATTAACCCCAAGACAAATTCCAACACAGGCTTTCCTTGAAGCCCTACTGTCCAGTTTGCAGTCTCCTGGGCTCTTTCATATCTGTCCTGTCCTATGCTTATACCTCTGCTTTTTCCGTGTCCTTTATTCTCTAAAACTTGGGCAACCCTATCTTCTGCACCAAAATCTACCCTGCTGCTCTTTACAAATTCATCTAACAAATCATTTCTTATAAAAATCATTCATAATTTTTCTAGGATTCTCTGTGGCTTGAATGTACTGCAATAAGTCTAAATTGACTCTATTCCTAACTATCTGTTTTAATGGACCATTTATCCGAATTGGAGAGCTATTAGGACCTGCATGATGCCATCATCATGAATCTTAAGGACTTAAGTACTTTTGTGCATGCTCAGTCACTTCAGTAGTGTCCAACTCTATGCAACCCTATGGACTGTAGCCCGCCAGGTTCCTCTCTGTCCATGAAATTCTCCAGGCAGGAATACTGAAGTGAGTTGGCATGCCTTTCTGCAGGGGATCTACCTGACCTAGAGATGAAACCCACATCTCCTGCATTGCAGGTGGATTCTTTACCCACTAAGCCACCTCAGAAAAGAAAAAACATATAATCCACCTACAATGGTCTTGAGTTCAAAATAGAAGCCTTCTATATTTGTGATTTTGATTACACAATGAATCAGGTAGGAGAATATATAGTAATTGCTGTGGTTATAGTCTATTTCTGGAAACATATATAAAGCAATTTTCTGTCAGTAGATGCAAAGAAGCATAATCTTATACAATGGAAAAAAGACAACCTCTTTAACAAGTGGTGCTGGGAAAACTGGTCAACCACCTGTAAAAGAATGAAACTAGAACACTTTCTAACACCATNAGAGAATATGCAGGGTCTAAGAGAAGAAAAAAATTAATTGTTAATGCATATGAAAGAATGGCTTGTTTTCAACTAGAGCTTCAAATGAATTTTACAGTGTTCCAATTACTTTCTATTTTTTCCCTAAATGGTAGATAACACAGAGTGAGTCTCTCTGTGCTCATGGTCTTTTTCTCTCAAGATCACTAAGATTTTTATATACCTAAGTTTGTGATTGTGACAACTGTGCAATTTTGTTTTCATTTGCCAGAACTTTATTTATTGTTTCAACAAGAAATTTTATTATGCACACACTTGTGTGCATATTTTTGTGTATGTGCATATATGTGTACATATACAGGTGCATGCACAAGCACATACATCAGGCAACACCAAGAACCATTTCTCCCTCATATGCCTGCTCCTTCATCCAAATGTCCAATGTACTCCTAATTTTATAGCTGTCCATTTCCTCCTTCTATGTACAAGAAGTTTTAAGTAACTTGAAAATATTTTTGAATCATATTTTTCTCTTTTTCTATAAGAAAAATATGGATTTTATAATTAATCTAAATTCTGTTTTTTTTTTTTAATATAGTATTTGTGGGGAACAACGCCTGATTAATCATTCAGTGCAGTTTTGTGAATTCCAATATTTGAGTAGCCTACTTTGTGACTAGCACTGTACTGGGTGCTGGGGAGATAATAATGAATTAGTTATATGTGGTTCCTACCTTCACAGAGGTTAAAATTTTGTGGAAATGAGTTTAATTATACTTTTCATCAGCACTCTATGGGAAATAGGACACTGTGAAATACATGGGCACATCTAAACTAACCTAGAGCAGGTTGCTGGAAGAATTCATGAGACCTGTTATGCATAGTGTGAGCTAAGCAGAAAAGATGGGTCCGAGTCATTTCAGAAGACAGAATTGCCCATGCAAAGGCTTTCAGGAACCAAGAGCATGACTGGGGCAGGCAGGATGGGCAGGGAAATGAAATTAGGGAGATAGATGGAACCAGACTGCACGGCTGGAGGCAGTGCTAGGGATTTCTTCATTTTCCTAAAGGGAATAGGAAATTATCACATAATTTTAAATAGAAGAATGAGATCTTCAATCTGTGCTCTGAAAAAGATGGTTCCATCTTCACTATGAAGAACAGGAGGAGGAGAGGAGGGGGGCTGGTAGCTGAGAGTCTCTGTAGTTGATGTGCCTGGGTTTGAATCTGCTATTTGTCAACTCTATCGGTTTAGGAAAGTTTGTTAATCTTTCTAACCTTCAGTTTTCTAATTTATATAATGGCCATAATGCCAAATTATGAGCATTGCTCTGAGGACTAAGTTCGATAATTAATATAAAGTTTTAGCATAGCCTTGGGTGGTGTTCAATCACTAAGCTGTATCTGACTCTGCAACCCCATGGACTGCAGCATGCCAGGCTCCCCTGTCCTTCACCATCTCCCAAAGTGTGCTCAGATTCATGTCCACTGAATCAGTGATGCTATCTATCTCGTCCTTTGCCACCCACTTCTCCTTTTGCCTTCAGTCCTTCCCAGCATCAAAGTCTTTTTCTGGTACATAGTGTTAAAAATGAAAAAGTAGGTAGTGAGTTTAACTAGGGAGGTGTGGGTGGGGGTGGAGAGTAGAAGTCTTACAATTCTTAGAAGACAATATTCCTAGGACTTAGTTATTAGCTAGGTGTGGGGCCAAGAGAAGTGAAAGACTCAAGGGTTGCCAGTTTTAGCAAAAAGCAGGAAAATGAAAGTGAAAGTCACTCAGTTGTGTCCAACTCTTTGCAACCCCATGGACTATAGACTGCATGAAATTCTCCGGGCCATAATACTGGAATGGATAGCCTTTCCCTTCTTCAGAGGATCTTCCTGACCCATGAATCAAACCAGGGTCTTCTGCATTGCAGGTGGATTCTTTACCAACTGAGCTATCAGGGAAGCCCTAAAGTGCAGGATCCTCAGATAAATTTGAATTTCAGATAGTATTTTTGAATATAAGGAAATATCACATGGGACATATTTATATTAAAATAATTGTTGTTTATTGGAAATTCAAATTTAGCTGAGTATCCTGTGTTTGATCTGGCTATCCTACCAAAGATGTCTCAGGGTTCTAGCTGAATCAACTGAATAATAGATGGTGGTGCTATTTGCTGAAATGGAGATGATCAGAAGAGGGGCCAGTCTTTAGTGAAAAGATTATGAAGTAGGTTTCGCAGGCACTGAATTGTAGGTGCCAGGAATACACTCAAGTACAACGTCAATTATTTACTCAGCCTTTCTTTGGTCATAATTGAGATACTGGTAAAGAACAGCTATAACCACATTTGTACAGGAAATTAGATAGTGTTGTGGTAGAGTGTTCAGTTTTTCAGTGTAATGAAAACATTATTTTTTTAAGAAAAAACTGGATAGAAAGTATAATAAAAACTTTTCATTTCTTTATTTCCAGGCTTTTATATTTCTCCAGGCAATGCCACTGGCTGCCTGCCATGTTCATGCCACACCACTGGTGCAGTTAATCACATCTGTAATAGCTTGACTGGTCAGTGTGTTTGCCAAGATGCTTCCATTGCTGGGCAAAGTTGTGACTATTGTAAAGATCTTTACTTTGGATTTGATTCTCTAACTGGAAGGTAAGTGTTTATAAGAATTAATAATCAGATATTTTTACTAAATTGTATTTGCAATTACTAACAGAAATTTTTTGGTTGTATATTTTGTAAGAAGCAATATCTTTTGTCCTCTTTAGTTTGCTAATATATTCTTCATTCCTGGGTTGGTAAGATCCCCTGATGAAGGGAATGGCTTCCCAGTCCAGTATTCTTGCCTGGAAAATTCCATGGATAGAGGAGCCTGGTGGGCTACATACAATCCATGAGATTCCAAAGAGTCAGACAGAACTGAGCAGCTGAACATGCAGAGTTATCTTTCCAGATTTCCTAGAGATTGAGTGTATAGGTTATTATACATTGATAAATGTGCCCAGTGTTAGGACCTGGGGATATTTAATAAGATAAAACACTTTTTATGCAAAGAACTCAAAATTTGGATGTGAAGGAAGGTAAAGAAATATGCGTAGCAGGAAATACACATGCACGTACACACACACACACACACACACACACACAGAGGTTAGGATAGGTAGCGTGTGTGTGTGTATACTTTGTTCTGTGTGGACCCTGAATTTATTACAGCATTCTTTTATGTTCCTTTTGCCTTTCTAATTTAGATTTAAAGACTAGCAGATGAGAAACATCTTTGAATTCAGTGATAAGATTTTTTTCCCAGTGTGTAGAGTAACTTGTGAAAGTAAATTAGCCACTTTTCAAAGTTACACTGTCTTTAATGTTCCCCTTCTTACTTCCTGTATATCTGTGAGCATTTGCTTTCATGCAAATGTTTTCATTGCTGTATTTTTGAAGGTGTGCTGGAATGCCAGTTCCATGTCTGTGTTTTTGGGTCTGGTCAGATTATAAATTTTTCCAGTATTGGGACTATATCCATGAATTCTCTGACATTCCTATCCCCAAGAAACTAATGTTGTGTCTGCATATACCAGTCAAATCTATTTCTCAGTATGTGTGTGTTTAGAAATGAGTGCTAATTATTCAAGGATTGGAGATTTTTTTTTTTTACCTTATTATCCTCTTGCTACCTGCCTTTTGACTGTTATACTGCTCATTAACACTTCAATTAGACTGTGGACAGGGTGATAGGGTAAATTATTAAAAAAAAAACTCAAACTATTTCATTTGTCTTTCTACTAAAATTCAATTTAATTAAAAAAACTAACTTATTCCATAAGATATTTATTAAAACACTTTTAAGTTCTTATTATATATCTTGTGTTTCAATACATGCTGTTTGACTTCTGTTCGTTACCATTGGAATATCATCTTTGTTAGTCTGAGAGCATTACTACTCTTCTCTACAAATTCTAAATCTCTCTGAATGAGTATATAAAACACATGGTACAGTAAATGTTAAATAAAAAGTAAAACTAGGATCTTAATAGTAAAATTAGGGCTAGTGATTACACCTATTACCCCTGTACATAATTTTTGTTGAATGACCATCTCACAAATTCCCCAGTTCAAACTCTGGGATCAGTTAATTTCACTCCTGGCCACCTCTGTCTTTAGAATTCCCATCTTTTCCATAGTCTTTCTGACAGCACTTTATTACCAAGAGAAAAATACCTTCCCTGTTAGCTCTCGTCCTTGGACTACTCATGCCTGTCTGTGACATTTTGTGCCAGTCTCTTACCTATTTTCCGTCCACTGATCTCCCTGTTATTTTTGCTAGTGTTGTCACCAAACCCCTACTTAATGACCAAGAGATGTATAATTATCTTGGCTTTTTCACATAACTTTCTTTAAGTGAAATCTCATTCCCTTCATTACACCACTTCCTATGCCCTTCAATGTTTTAAAATTCAGTCTGGCTTTACTCCAATCTACTTCCTGCTCATTTATCTACCCATCCCATTCCCCACCCCAATCTTATCCAGGACCAAGAATCACTTACAGATAGTGCTCTATCACCTGCCACTTTTCAGTAGGACTGGCTAACACTGGAATTAGACTCCATGGGTTAAAAGATAGCTTGAAATGTTAACCTAAATTAATGAGAAATAGAAAGAGCCAGAAAAATAGGTATAAAATACATCATCATCATCACAACAACAGCTACATTATTAGAAAGTGCTGAGGTTAAAATTAGGAAAGCAGACAGAAATCATTAAAAGAAAAGAGATAGTTGCAGGTTGGAGTCTAGGAGATAGAGCCAACATTTGAAAATTGTTGGGTGGATTTTATAATTCTGGGTTTTATGATTGTCATGATGGTCATAGAGTAAAAGATTCAGATTAACTGTGTGTTCAAAGCAAAAAGACTCATGACAAGTTTGTATAAATGCAATTGTATATTTTTACATATTCAGTTCAGTTCAGTTGCTCAGTCATGTCTGACTCTTTGCGACCCCATGAACCGCAGCATGCCAGGCCTCCCTGTCCATCACCAACTCTGGAGTTTACCCACACCCATGTCCATTGAGTCAGTGATGCCATCCAGCCATCCCATCCTCTGTTGTCCCTTTTACATATTAGATGACTTATATTGAGAGAAGTAAGGAAGTGCACACAAACACATATACATACACATACCCAATATCTTCTTTATCCATTCATTCCCTATCTTGGCTCTTGTGAATAATGCTGAAGTGAACTTGGAGGTGCAGATATCTCTTCAGGATCCTGATTTTATAACCTTTGGATATACTCCCAGAATTGAGATTGCTAGAATCATAGGATAGTCCTATTTTTAATTTTCTAAGGACCCTTCATACTGTTTTTCATAGTGGCTGTACCAGCTTACATTGCCACCAATAGTGTGAGGGGTTCCCTTTTCTCCACATCCTCACCAAAACCTAGCTTTTGTGTTTTTGATAATAGCCATTCTAAGAAATGTGAAATGATATTTCATTGTGGTTTTGATTTGCATTTCCCTGATGATTAGTGATGTTAAGCAGCTCTTAATGTATCTGTTGGCCCCCTGCGTGTCTTCTTTGGAGAAATATCTATAAATATCCTTTGCTCATTTTTGAAAATTAAAGGATTCTTTTTCCTATTGAGTTGTATGAGTTTCTTATAAATTTTTAATATTAACCACTTACCAGATAGATGGTTCACAAATATTTTCTCATATTCTGTAGGTTGTCTTTTCACTCTGTTTGTAATTTCATTTGCTGTGTAAAAGATTTTTGGTTCATCTCTTGTTGCTTTTTTGCCCAAGCATTGGTGTCATAGCCACAAAATTATTGCCCAGATCCATGTTAAGAAGCTTTTCCCCTGTTTTCATCTAGTAGTTTTAGTTTCTGATATTATTTTTAAGTTTTTAACCTATTTTGAGTTGATTTTTATATATGGTCATTTTAAAGGTCCAATTTCATTCTTCTACACATGAATATTCAGTTTTGCCAGCACCCTTGGTTAGAGAGAACACCCTTTCCTCATTTTGTATTCCTGATACTCTTCTTGAAAATCTGTTGACTGACATGTGTGGGTTTGTTTCTGGGTTGTCTATTCTATCCCATTAGTCTATATGTCTGCTTTTAATGCCAGGACCATACCATTTTGATTTTGATAACTTTGTAGTATTTTCTGAAATCACGATGTCTGACGCCTCCAGTATGGTTACTATTGTTGAACCCATAGTTTGCAACTTAAAATAACTGTAGAACTTTATATTACCTAAGGAAGACCGGAAAAGCTGTACAGTTGACTCACTTCATCTTCAGATGGCGACAAGGAAATTAGCCTCATGCAATATATTTAAAGGATCAATGAAAGATGAAAGAAAATTAATTTATGATTGCTTCTTATGACTCATGGTTTTCCAATGAGCCAATAATATTTCTTTTCCTTTTTTTAAAAAAAAAAATCTCTTCTTTTGGTTCCCAAGATTCCGCTTCTCTGAATTGTTTTATATTTCTGTTACTAACTAGTCCTCTTTAATCTGACCCTTCAACTTACATATCAGCATCTATGATTTCAGTCACTGCATGCATGTACATGACTCTCAAATATATTATCATCTCTCCAGATCTTTACAATGGGCTCTAGGCCTATGGCCAGTTGTCTCTCTGAATTTTAAATTTGCATGCCCCTCATCCATCCCATTCCTAATGTAGCCAACCCCAAGGAAGTGCTCATTTTCATTACTCTAATCACCTCCAGCAATTTTTTTTTTTTTAAGTCTCTTGCCATTATCATCTTAGGGAAAGGGACATAAATCTTAAAGAAACTATTCAAGTCCAAACTACCCATGTGTGAATGGGGCTCAGGATGCTCTCAGGTTAGGCAGGGTTGACTCTCATATTAAGCATAGGCTGCTGCTGGAAAGAACTATTAAAAGCAAGAGCCACTGTGGATAATGTAGCTTCTCTGAAATAAACAGAAAGAATAAAGCTTCCCTTGACCACACAGGGCCCAAAGAAATCAGCAGGATATGTCCCTTGTTAAATCAGTCATATAGAATGCCCCTGTCTAGAGTTGACCCTTCTATTCCACTGATGAATTCTACTGTCATGTTTTATTTTAACATTGATGATTGTTAAAGAAGAAATCCTCTAGCACAGAAGGTCATAGAGAAAGATGTTTCAAAATATGACTGTGAAAATTGCTTGAGTTTATACTTTTGCTCATCATTGAGAAGAAAAAAATGGATTTTATTATTTTTATGTTTTCCATCCCTTTCCTGAATGATATTGAAATCTCTTTGTTGACTTCTGGTTGTTCTTGTGTGTGTGTGTGTGTGTGTGTGTGTGTGCATGTATACAAAGTAATACTGACTATTTTGAAAACGTGTACGAAGATGTCTAAAACATATGGGATTCCATCTAGTATTAGGAATTTTTGTTTCCTGAGGGAAACACTCATTGTCTAAATATATACAGACACATAGAAGAATAACTATTGTGACCTGATGTTAAAGTTTTTAAAAAATAATCATCTAAAGTCATTTGAATGTACTTTGAGTCAGACAGGTTAGGTACTTAAAAGTATAATTTTTTTTCATTAATTTCCAAAAGTCTGCAAAGATTATAAGTAGTTTATTGTTAAGGAGAAGATACA